TGCTCCCCGGGAAGGCAGGCCGGGGCCGCGACCCACCCCCGTCCCCCGCGGGGCACCAGGCGCCGGCCCCTGACTTGGCCCCGTCTGTACCCCCTCCCAGATGTTTTTTTCTGGACATCCAATCTAAACTTACTTTGCTGCAACTTTGAGCATGGGGCTCAATGCAGCAGCCTTGACCCTGCGGGGCGAAGGGTACTGCCCAGTCTGTAAAGACTGGCACCGGTCTGTCTGAGCAGTGGCATGTCCCTGTCACCCCCCTGCGGTGGCATAAAAAGACCTTGCAAAGTCCATGCGCCATCAAGCTGTCTGGGGAGGGAGCTGCTTCAGTGGAGTGACTGGGGCTCGTGTCACGGCAGGACCGTCCCCTTCGCAGTCGGCTGTTGCGAGCGGCTTCTCCTGAAAGGCTGCCTTTGCTTTACTTCCCTCCAGCCCGCAGCTGTTACAGGAACATTATACCGCTCCGTCAAGTGCCTCTTGATGATGTTTGGGCTATACAGGGACACGGATGCGCTGCCCCTTCACAGGATGGGACAGAGGTAGGTGATGGCAGGTGGCAGACAATATGCAGTAACTTTCCAACCCCACCTGTATTTCTAAAGTCACCTGCCCTGTTTGGTAACAGCAGTTGTAAAGCATCATTAAGTCTTGCCTCAGGGCCCTGGCTGTGAATTAGACCCGAGGGAGTGTTCTTCAGTTTCAAAGACCAACAAACATTAACTAAATCATGCTTTCAGTGGGCACCGGCCTGAGACAAGAGACCTACTTTCTATTTCTGGCTCACTTACTGACCTGCTTTATGGTCTCACGTCACCTCTATTGCTTCTGTTTCTCCTCCAACACTTCGTCTTGCATAGCTACAGGCAAACTTTTCAGCACAGGGGCTGTCTGTCCTGTGTTTGGCGCCTGTTCCCCCCCCCCCCCCCCCAACACAATACTGATTCCTTTTGGCCTTTGAATCTGCAGACCTGTGTTTCCCCATTTGTCCTGTTACTTTCTATACCCTGAATGCACTTCTAACAATTGTAGCATGACCTTAAGTTACTCAAATGGCATCCTTCAGGGCTCCAGTCCATGACCTGTAAAAGGCAGGAAGGAATTGTTTCCTCCAAAGGGTATTTTGTTTCTGGGTTTTTTTAACTTTCCTCTGAAGCATCAAAGGATTGGCACTAGCTGGGGAGATGCATATTAAGCAGGGTGGACTGTTACACTGAAGTAGCACAGAACCTCTCGGGTACTTCACTGGTGAGTCCTACTCATGTTAGGATTGGCAGATGTGGGGGTAAAAATGAATTTTCCCCCGTCAAACTGGTAGGTACCTTAGGTTTTTACTTTTCTCTGTAATGCAGGGCATGGTCTGTCTGCTGGGATCAGCCAGGGAGACCCACATAATCTGTTTCCTGCCCCTGCAGGGACCTTGGACATTGGTGGTGCCCGGGTCTTACCTGTTCTTCACCTGTGACACCCACAGTTTTAAGGACTGAGATATTTTGTGTAATTCATACGTTCGGGCTCGTACAGGGCATCTGGGTGAGGCTGGTCTCTGATACAAAGGAAGTCTGACCAAATGATCCAACAGGTCCTTCTGGCCTTCCTTTCTGTGCAATCTTCACACTATCAGCCTTGAGGGGAGCACACAAGAAGCTGTACCCTTTGGCCTGCTTCACACGGCAAATCTACTCTCAATCATTAAAACGCACAGGGCCAAGATTTGCAACAGCCGCTAATGCTTTGGGTGCCACCCCTGAAGCAGCTTAAACACCAGGCTGAGTTGCAGAGCGTGCAGAGCACTTTCTGAAATTCAGACCGTACCGAGAGTGTCTCGAGTTGAAGCATTCGGACCATTAGTTGCTGCAGAAAATCTGCTCAAAAAAGTTTGATTGTGCACTCACACTCCTGGGACTTCTCAGAGGTTACTCCTGATTCACACCACTGTAACAGAGAGAACAAATTTGGCCCAGAGTGGAGGTCAGTGGAGGCCAACTTTTTTGGCAGACCTGCCACAGGGTAAGCCCTGCACCCTGCCTGAGTGCTACTCTGGTCCCCTGTCCCTAACTAGTCTGTTGCTCTGCTTTCTGCTCCCTGTCCTGTCTATCACTGTGTTCCCTCTCCACAGGTTGACCACCCCTGGTCATCCCTCTGTTCCTACCCCCGCTCCCTTTTCCTTATTAATCCCTTTCCTGGCTCATTCTCTTTCACAGCAGTATTGTGTCCTGTTCTGCAGTCTGGATACTAGGCTCCGATCCTATGAATATTAATCCACGTGGATAACTTAACTCACAAGTCAGTCCTGTTAAAAAAAAAAGAATGGGCAAAAGAATACATTTATGCATGCATGTGATTGTGTGTAGGGCTGGAGCACTGGATTGGAAGGTATCGTGTATATATTGATAAAGCACGCATGTCAGTTATCAAAATTATATATTTTTTCATTTACACGAACAAAAGTGCCGAGGGCATTCCTACCACAAAGGAAAACACAGTTCCCAATCCAAGGAGCTGGCAATAAATGCCTAACAAGCAACAGTGATGTAATCCTGGTATTACTTAACCAGCCCGTGCTCGGATCATCAGGCTGTACTGTGTGAATCCCAGTTGGGCATTAAATGAGGTAATATGCAGAAATCTGTTTGACTTTGCTCCTCTGGGGAAATTGAAAATGGTTCAAGGCTGTCAAAGTGGTGACACTATGAATGAGATTTTTCCCTGCGTTGCGTAAGATTTTAAATCTCTCTTGTAGAAAGCAGAGATCTTAAAATATGCTGCCAAATTCATTCCAAGTCAGGAAGACTCAGCAGATCTACTTGAGAATAATCACCTGTGACCTTGTATCCTGCTGATAAGAGCCAAGGGCCCTTGGCCTAGCACAAACTCGTAACCCAAAGTCCTGGACTCCAGATAGTCTCAGTACTCAGCAGCACAGCAAATCAAACACGCCTTTTCCTTAGCTTAGAGGTACAGGGCCTGCTCCTCCTCCCAGGGATGGACGCGTTTGCCACATGCACAGGTCCTGTACTGTTCTGCCTACTACAGATTTGGACCGTGGTCATCCTAAGCCTGGAGTAATGCTGCAGGCAGGGATACAAGGCTCTGGAAACTTGCAGCTGCTTCTAAAGTATCAAGGGAGGTTAGATGCAGCTTTCCTTCCCTAAGGAGTGTTTATTCTGAACTTGCGTGTTAAACTCCTTGGGCTGACTACCCCGTGGACATAGTTCTCTTGGTCGAGCTTGGGGCAAGAGAGGTCAGGGGATGCTTTCACTTCTGTCACCTCCCAACTGCCCCTACAGTTCAGCGGAGGTGAGAGAATCACAGACACCAGCAGGGAATCAATGGTTGGAGAAACTAATGGCAATGGATGCACCATCCTGCCGTGGCTTCCCCAGTGTTTCTCCCTGGCCTCCAGTTCACTGTTGTGATAGGACACAGGGGGAACCTGGGCTTCCCATGGGTTCCCCTGCTCCTCCCCTCACACCTATGGGCTCTGAAAGTCAATGGAGGTATGTGTAAGATGGAGCTATAGTGGTTCCTCTGTGCTTGGGAACCTCAGTGACAGAGAGGCTGGATTCACCCTCTCGGGCATTGCACTATGCGTCTCTCCCATGGTGAAATCCTTCGGGGGAATTTGCAAAACCTCTCGCATGTCCCAGAAGAAAGCAAACAGGCACAGCTACCTTTCATGCCTGGAGGGCACATGCATGATAACCTCACTGCTATGAAAGAACAGATTGGCTTCACATCCAGTTCCCAAGCCTGGTGCTAAACACATCCAGACCATCCTTTTTCCCCTTTGTCATCACCACTCCCAAGCATACATACTTCCCGGACACATGAACCCTTTTCAGACATATTTATTTGCCCCTGGCTGCCTGTCACGTGGCCCTCGATGGCTTGCCAAAACTCAGTAAGCGGCCCTCTGCCAGAAATAATTGCCCGCCCCTGGTTTATTGAGTCTGCAGAAGAAAAGAGCAGGGGGGATTGAATAGCAGCCTTTCGCTACCTGCAGGGGTTGCAAAGAGCACGGAGCAGGACTGGTCTCACACAGAACGAGGAGCAACAGCCTCAAGCCGCAGCAAGGGAGGCTGAGGTTGGATATTAGGAAATACTCTCTCTCTAGGAGGGTGGTGAAGCGCTGGAAAGACGTGGTGCAATCTTCATCCTTGGAGGTTTTTAAGACCCGGCTCGACAAAACTTTGGACTGATGCTGGTGCTGGGGAGAGGCAGATGTGACCCCTGCTTGCTGCTCGCCTCTGATCCCCTGGTCTCAGTACAAGGCTCGATCCGGCTTCTCGCCTGCCCGGCCAGGGGGC